CTTTAGTAAAAAAGTTCAGAACACAAACAGCTACATGCGATTATCCTCATAAACATAATTTCTCACAGTGAAGTTTAGGGTGGCTCTAGTATCACAGGTGAACAGCTGGGGGCATTCAAGACCCAATTACAAAGGGCCACCCCAATGGAACTGGAGTACTCTGGTGGCAATGAAGGAGGTCCTCCCCACTGTAGCTTGGGTCTTTTGGAAAAGCTGCATGCCAGTAGGCTTTGGCCTGGCTGCCTGCACACCAGCTCTGCCTCAGTCAGGGCATCTGGACCAGTCTGAAGATCACTTACCATACACCTCTGCCTCAATGAGGGAGGCAGAAGCTGAGGAATTTATATTTTCTGGGTGTGTCCAGGAACCCAGAGATTTGTGGGAAATGATGTTATAGGTGACTGTGCCTGCATCTGAGCATGGTGAGTAAATGGGCACTCCGCTATAGGAGCATCCAAGACACATAAGAAGCTAGAGCCTGTCTCAGCCTAAAGGTGCCATTTGTAACAAAACCATCACTTTATACATGTGCAATTAAATTGTTCTTGATAAATCCTCATATTCAGATAGTGTTTTTTGTAGAGTAATGACCACTCAAAGAGTACAGTGTGTTTAGAATAGGCCTATGAAAGTGTAAAGAATGACAATAAATGGAGGAAAGGGCCTTGGCTAATGGGAAGTTGCTGGAGGAACAATGACAGCCTTTACAAAGTACTGCAGACTATTCTGAGCATAGTAACTCATTTCTCAATGTACAGCCACCTGCCATAGAAGCCTTTTGCCTTACTCTAAAAAGATAATATGGCTACCAAAAATAGCTCTTAGCAGGTTTGCAGGCCAACAGGCCTAAACAATCTTTCTTTTGTAGAATATTTATAATACTGAAGTAAAAAGTACTGTAGTAACCAAAAACTACTCTTTTCTAAAGCAATATATTTAAAGTGACACTAAATTATATCATATTTCTCCAAAAATCATCCATACACACCCACTACTTAATGGCCCTATGATCTATTTTTATACACTTGTTTATTAATGTGTTTTTCTACTTCCTTTTAATATCCTCCTTGAGCCCCCAAACATCTTTCCCCCTGATTACCATATGTTTGCAATAAGTAGTTCACTTTTTTTGCAGTGTACTGCTCAATGCATACTTCAGATCCCATAGTCTAAAATCCATCTCGGGAGCGAGCAAGAGAGGGTGGCTATGTTCCTACATACATTGGTACCGTGCAGAATGAACGTAGCCACCCTCTAACAGGTTGGTAAGGGGAGGCAGCCTTGAGCTGGAGAGTGCTGGGGGGTGTTGAACGCAGAGACCACTGACAGCCATTGCTGACATAAAATTTTGATGTTCAGTCAGTGAGTGCAGTGGGCCCATTACCCTGGTTAACCTAAAGTTCTCTACAATGACAATGGATGATATGGATGAAACTTGTGAGCTGGGTGAGCATCAAATGCATAAATTAACTCAATGTCACTTGGATTTTTCGCAATTACAAACTTGACTTAATCTTACCTTATTGTTGAGCTACCAGTTTATGAAACTGTTTTTATTTTGCCTGTGTGTACCACGACATAGAGTCAAAAGTTGAATTAAGCTCTCCTAAAGTAAAACATATATGTTCACTTTACCATTTTCTATGTTTCATAAAAATCACACTGTAATATTGTAATGTAATAATTTTTAATCAGCAGACCTTTTACAGTAATATTTTGTAGTATATATCTGGGGGTAATAGAATTACATAAAAGTAATGGAAAAAATGTATATAACAATAGCATTTTTTTCCATTTTTCAGCCATATTTTGGAAATGATATCATTGCTATCCACATTCCTTTGCTTATGTAGACAGGGATTCCCAACCATGTCAGTCAATGGTGCCTGGGACATCCATGGATGGCAGCACCTGCACCTTTTTTCAACCATTGACAGCAGGAAGTGGTAGAAATACTGATTCTATATATGATGTTTGGGTCCCTCTGAATAAGGGGCCAAATGGGCAAAATTTCACCTAAACAGCCAAATTTGGACCACACCATTGGCTCATTCCTATTGTGGTATTGGGGAAGATTGGCTTACTTTCAGTTTTAGAGACCATACAGGAAGTGAAGAAACTTCTCCCCAATACCTACACAAATAGTAATAAAACCTGACGGAGGTCCTATCCCTTTACTAAACAAACGTTTAGGTTGGAGGTGTACAGTGAAGTTGTAATAAACCCAAAATCAAAAATGTATTATAATGTAGCTTACCAGTCATTAGATTGTAGTGGGTGCATCCATTTTCTTTTCTTTGGCTTTTTTCTCTCTGTTTTCACCTGGTGATCTGGCCAGTAGCACACCTCCAGTATTAGTGAGACACAACTCTGGAGGAATGAGTACAGGAGGCACGGTAGACAGCAGCATTGTCAGTCTGGGGGGGGGAGATGGGAGTGTTAAATATATTAGCAGATTTGAATACAATAATAAATTGAAGCCAAACTCCAGATCACGTTTTGTAATTTGTAGTTCAATCAAATTTTTTTTTCCCTTTGGGATAAAGGTTTTACATGAATAGATAAAAAATCTGATCATTTTAATCACCCCTGCAAGTGGTAAATGGATTGTCTCATCCGTGTAATTTTTGTGATACATTTTTATGATACATTTTCTACAAGAGAGCTTGAGCTTACGAAAAACAGCAGACTTGCTAGCTGGATCACCAGATGAAAAGAGAAGAAAGAAACCCTACAAAAGGAAGCTAATACAGCCACCACATATAAGAATTGATAAGCTGCAATGTAATAACTGTTTGCTTTTGAGTTTAATACCACTTCTACTCCAGCCCCAGAGATTCATGCATTTCAGAAATTTTAGCAAATTTCATTGGAGAATTCTATATGTTCCAGAGGTAATACATACAGGTATCATTTATATACTACGTTTTTCAGAACAAAAGTCTATTGGGAGGAATTGCAGGGAGTAATATCTACAGGTGAAACTCAAAAAATTAGAATATTGTGCAAAAGTTCATTTATTTCAGTAATGCAACTTAAAAGGTGAAAATAATATAAGAGATAGACTCATTACATGCAAAGCAAGATAGTTCAAGCTGTGATTTGTCATAATTGGGATGATTATGGCTTACAGCTCATGAAAACCCCAAATCCACAATCTCAGAAAATTAGAATATTGTGAAAAGGTGCAATATTCTAGGCTCAAAGTGTCCCACTCTAATTAGCTAATTAATCCATTACACCTGCAAAGGGTTCCTGAGCCTTTAAATGGTCTCCCAGTCTGGTTCAGTAGGAATCACAATCATGGGAAAGACTGCTGACCTGACAGTTGTGCAGAAAACCATCATTGACACCCTCCATAAAGGAGGGAAAGCCTCAAAAGGTAATTGCAAAAGAAGTTGGATGTTCCCAAAGTGCTGTATCAAAGCACATTAATAGAAAGTTATGTGGAATTGAAAAGTGTGGAAGAAAAAGGTGCACAAGCAGCAGGGATGACCACAGCCTGGAGAGGATTGTCAGGAAAAGGCCATTCAAAAGTGTTGGGGACTTTCACAAGGAGTTGACTGAGGCTGGAGTCAGTGCATCAAGAGCCACCACACACAGACGGATCCTGGGCATGGGCTTCAAATGTCGTATTCCTCTGTTTCTCCTGAACAACAAATAACGTCAGAAGCATCTTACCTGGGCTAAAGAAAAACAGACCTGGTCAGTTGCTCAGTGGTCCAAAGTCCTCTTTTCTGATGAGAGCAACTTTGCATCTCATTTGGAAACCAAGGACCCAGAGTATGGAGGAAGAATGGAGAGGCACACACTGCAAGATGCTTGAAATCCAGTGTGAAGTTTCCACAATCTGTGTTGATTTGGGGAGCCATGTCATCTGCTGGTGTTGGTCCACTGTGCTTCATTAAGTCCAGGGTCAACTCAGCCGTGTACCAGGAGATTTTGGAGCACTTCGTGCTTCCTTCCACACACGAGCTTTATGGGAATGCTGACTTCATTTTCCAGCAGGACTTGGCACCTGCCCACACTGCCAAAAGCACCAAAACCTGGTTCAATGACCGTGGGATTACTGTGCTTGATTGGCCAGCAAACCCACCTGACCTGAACCCCATAGAGAATCTATGGGGCATTGCCAAGAGAAAGATGAGACATGAGACCGAACAATGCAGAAGAGCTGAAGGCCGCTATTGAAGCATCCTCGTCTTCCATAACACCTTAGCAGTGCCACAGGCTTATAGCTTCCATGCCACGCCGCATTGAGGCAGTAATTGCTGCAAAAGGGTCCCAAACCAAGTACTGAATACATATGCATGCTTATACTTTTCAGAGGTCTGATATTGTTCTATGTACAATCCTTGTTTTATTGATTGCATGTAATATTCTAATTTTCTGAGATTGTGGATTTGGGGTTTTCATGAGCTGTAAGCCATAATCATCACAATTATGACAAATCACGGCTTGAACTATCTTGCTTTGCATGTAATTAGTCCATCTCATATATTAGTTTCACCTTTTAAGTTGCATTACTGAAATAAATGAACTTTTGCACGATATTCTAATTTTTCGAGTTTCACCTGTATATTTGAAACTAGAATGCTCCATCATTTTTCTGTGTCCTCAAACTACTGGTGCTGTGACTGTCAAGGGCTGAAAAATAGTGTTTCATTTAGGGCAAAGTGACAGAGTAGCTTTAATGCACATTAAACTCATAAAATCAATGCTTCCTCATCCCTTCCTATTTCTCTTATCCCCTATCTATTTATCTATAGCTCAGACATATTGGTGTTGATTTACCACAGGAGTAGAGCATATTTACATTTGAAGCAAATTTTTGCTTAACACCACTGCATCTGATGCTTTGCATTGCACTTGGTGTTGTAAGGCTTGGATGCAGCTTTCCATGAGGCTCTCTACAAACCCATTCCATGAGGCTCTCTACACACTGTTGTTGTGCTAATCTGAAGGCCACGTGAAGTTTGGAGGTCTTAAGCTACCGACTCTACAGACAGTTGGCAACTTCTGTGCACTGTGCGCTTCAGCATGCACTGACCCCCGCTCTGTCATTTTACATGGCCTACCACTTCGTGGCTGAGTTGCTGTTGTTCCCAGTTGCTTCCACTTTGTTATAATACCACGAACAGTTGACCGTGGAACATTTAGTAGCAAGGAAATTTTCACGGATGGACTTATTGCACAGGTGGCAACTTATCATGATACCACACTTGAATTCACTGAGCTCCTGAGAGCGACCCATTCTTTCACAAATGTTTGTAGAAGCAGTCTGCATGCCTAGGTGCTTGATTTTATACACCTGTGGCCGTGGAGGTGATTGTAACACCTGAATCCAATGATTTGGAGGGGTGTCCCAATACTTTTGGCAATATAGTGTGTGTGTATATATATATATATATATATATATATATATATATATATATATATATATATATAAACTGACCCCATAAATGTTATATTTTCTCTTAAAAGAGAGATACTGCCACTTTGCCAATTCATGGTAAAGTGTCATTGGGTTGATTTGATAGACTGTATACTTTGCAAGTGCAGTTGCATCCATTTTCCCCAGAGCTTGGTGAATGTGGTGAAGCTCACCATCATCCAATCATGTGAAAGCAAAAATGCTGTTTTTTAATTTTTCTTGCATCTGATTGGGTATTCTTTTACAAAGAGAAGATTCGCCACATTCACTAAGCTCTGTGGAAAATGAGCGCAACTGCACTTGAAATGTGTCTATTTACCTTTAGTAAATCAACACCATTGTCTGCTGATAGCTCAACATCCCAGTAAGATTTAATCACTCATCTATGCTCCCTCTTCCCTTCCCTACTGCAGGAGTTCATCCTGGGTAAGCTCAATTGTCCTAGCTTACCCAGATGATAACATCACTGCCCCTCCCCAGGTAGCATTGTTTGGGTATGAAAATTGGCCACTCAGGTTTTAGTATTGTCACATGGGGGAGATGTCACATGTTAGAATGATAAAGCAAGATGACATGCTCCCCCATACCCAGAAATCCCCACGTTAGAATGATGAAGCAAGGGTTCTGACAGAGCACGGATGGCAAAGACTAGTCAGCACTATTACTTTTCCTGAAAGGGTGACTGTGTCCTTTATGGTTTTATGGGTGGAAAGGCCTGTGCTAAAAATGCATGCCCTATTTAAAAGAGATGGTTTTCACCTCTTATAGAAACCATTTTCTCACCTTTATTACATGCATTTAGTTGGAATAATAGGACCTAAAACTAAAACTAATCATAAGAGACAACAATATAACATAGAATTAATAGCACACTACAGACAAGCTCTTTTATTGGACAACAGTATATTTTGCTAGAATGGTTCTTTTTCAGTAGTGACTATAATTGTATCTGAGGTTCCATGCAAGATTGTTTTGCACAAAGATTATTTTGCACAAAGAAAATGGGTGAAAATACATGAATTTCCTGCCTGCATTGTCATATGCCAATATAACATCTGTCCTAGCCACTTAATACAACATTCATAATTATAAAGACAATCCCCAGCCCCAGAAGAATGAGAAAAAAGGCTTCCTAGCTGTCAGTCTTTGGTTTTGGAGAGGAGCCACCGAGTTAATTTAAACCCTAATGTAAACAATACAGTCATTTGAAAACAATCGCAGAGTGGCAATGATTAGCAGACACCTGGGCAGAAACAGTTTCTGGCCCGTTGTTGCCAGGAATAATATGTTGGATTATGTGGGGATACATTTCACTATATTATTCTTTTCAACGAAAAAAAAGAGAAAATTACGCCATTTTCTACTGGAGCTGTTCTCATTATGTATATTTTGCTTCAATCCATTCCCAACTCTGTTTATTAGAAAATTTCAAACTGAGCGGCTATTGCAGAACTTCAAGGTCATAATTTCAGCCTTTAAAGTATTTAATTTGCAAAAAAAAATTAAAACATAATTTTTTTTCTTTTGCTAAGCAGAGTAATAAGAGTTGTCACACAAGTCTAGCAAGTGGATAAAATGTTCCATATGTCAATTTCTATCAGGAATCAGGATGCTTTACAAGTTTGATATTTGAAAGTGTTGATGGAGAAGGCTGGGATTAGTTTGCTATCTAGAAAGCATGTCTGTTATAAGAAAAGACTAAATGCCCACTGGGACAGCCAGAAGGATGTATTAGGTTGACTCACTACTTAGGTTGATCTGAGTACAGGCTGTTCAGTTAGGAAAGTACATGTCAGGAATGCCACAGACAGATGATGTGATTTTCTTTCCTGCAACCAATAGGTTGCAGGAAAGAAAATCACTCAGTTCCCCATCAACACATTCAGTTGGAAGAATCCCTCCTATGGAGCTATTGTGTTCTTCCGGCAGAGGAGCAAGAGGAGCCATCCCTGCCGGGAGAACACAGTGATTATTGCTAGCGTCCATAGCCACTGGCAATAATCACATGTAAAGATCCAACATGCTGACTGTACCCAAGTCGTACAAGAATCGAATTTGGAATAATTAGACTGCCCATAGATGGTTTGAATCTTGGACGGTCCCTGTTGAACCAACTGAAATTTGAACCATCTATTGCCAGCTTTAGTGAACTAGGTGAACCTGTGTTCACTTTCAATACCCAATCATGTGTGGGCAAGCTCTAAACCCAAATGCCACTTCAGCAGTTGGGAATGACCTAGCATTTAGACAGAGTGTGTTTATTGTGTAATCCAGGTCTGGGCATTGAAATAAAAATTGGATCCCCTGGCAGTTCTTAAAATAAAAAAGCAGGTCTGGCTGCCATAGCCAATCTTTGGCACTGTACCACACAGACTCACTGATATAGCCCATCTTCCAGGCTGAATGATGGCCAGCACCATTTTATCCATGCCCTGTGAGTCCAGGTTTCCATAGCTCCTCCCTCTCAACCTGGAATCATGAAGGAAGAATGCTGTACAAAGAAGCAACATATCATTAATGACCTGTGGCCTTATGTGATCTAGCTGAAGACCTTGACAAATATGTACACTTTTTTCTGTGCAGGGTTGCAAACTGGAGGGGAGAACCAAGCTTGGAGTTGGGCATTAAAGCGTTACAAAACCCAGGGTCCTGCATTCACTATATTTGGTCTCCCACAGTACACAGAACATGGAAACGCAATTATTTTAGTAAATATAACATTCTAAATACTTTGTCTCATCAGCAGTATATAGCGGTCTTGTGACTTCTATCAGTGTCCAGCAGAACACTGGTTAAAGCTCGTAGGAGGAGTTTTCATTCTGCTCTGACTGTCCTATGAGGCTGCAGGACCCCTGACCTTCTGTTTGGATAGTGCTGATTGGCCTTGTGCTGATCACATGAACTCTCCCAAGAAAAAAAAACTCTCTAGCAATACTCACCAAACTGAGCATGTGCATCTTGCCTTCAAGGATCTGTTTTATCAGCAGATGGATTGGGGACAGTGGAAGAAGGGGAGGATCAGAGAAGTCAAGATCAAACATCCTTTTTACACAGTGCAGAGGATTAACCCCTTAGGTTCAATGGTGATTATAACAAGCATGCTTTAATGCATATACAGACTGATTTTACTGTTATGGGTTTAGTAACACTTTAGGAATATGCTATGCCCTGTTTGATTAGAAGTCTAGTGTACTGTTATGCATAGAAGAAAGGTCTACTCTGATTTCTAATTAAAGTGTAATCAAGCCCAAATGTATTAAATGTTTGGAGAGAGTGAGAAATAGACAGAACTTCTGTCAGGAAATGCTTTCTTTGTCCTCCTTGGGGATATACCCATCACTTGCTGTTCTAATACCCCTCAAACTGGAAAGTGGAGGTTAAATCCTACCAATGATGACACATATTAACTTTAAAATTCAGCAATGGTCATGACCTTTCCTGAACCAATCAAAACTATGAAAACAATGTAGTCTTATGTGACACAGTTTCTGGATGAAGAACTGTCTCATAATATCTTATTGGGATTTAAATTTAAAATTCAGTGGGGTAGGGTTTGGATCCAGCTTACAGCTCTTCTGGTCACCAGTTTGGTGATATTTTTCGGCTGATGTTCTGCAGTCACCTGCACAAGTGAGTTCTCCATAATTACCTAGAGAGATGTCAGTAGAGAGCATTGAAAGAGTGAATGCAGTGTCATCTGTCCTCTAGTACTGTGTTCTACAGACCAGTTCCCATATCCCCACCAACAGTCCATGTTTGTGGAACCATATAATACTGCTAATAAATGAATTATCTGTCCAATACATATGTGAGATAATCTACAATATAAGCAGTGATGGGACCTGATGGTAGGAAACACTTTTCTAGTGTAGTGTCTATAGGAAAATAAGGAGAAACTACTTAGATTACAGTAGAGCTATAAAAAAAAAAAGCATAACCTGTGAATCATTTTGCATAAACTTACTAGTCATAAAATACATGCAAAAGGGTGGTGTTATAACTCAGTTTTGCTCAGAACTTTAAGCACTAGATAGGGTGGTTGAACTCTGCCCTCACACCACCAAAAAACGGCAAAATCCATTTTTGTTGCAGTTCACCCTAATTTCATAAGCTTTTCCTTTCAGTGTAGGTGTAAAAACCTGACTGGTTGCTGTCAAACAAAGATTTTCTTAGTTCTTTTCACAGATACTAAACTTAAGGCTCTGAGTACTTAAAAACACAAATTTTAACTATTAACCAGGGGCGGACTGACCATTCGGGCACTCAGCCACTGCCCGAGGGCCCAGGGTCAGTAGGGGGCCCCACGAGATGCCCCTAGTACATTTTATAGGCTTTTTTGGGGTGTGGTTTGAGTGTGGGTGAGGACACAGGGGCCCCATGATCCCCTATTGCCCGGGGCCCCAATGAGTTGTCAGTCCACCCCTGCTATTAACATATTGTATTGAGAAATGTCACTGTCTGTTCTCATTTGTTGTGTGAACTCCGTGTCTGTTACTGCCAACCTTGAAGTCTCTACTACAACAGGGTGCTAAGTGTTGTCCCTCCTGCTTTTTTCTTTTTATATATATATTTATATATATATATATATATACACACTGATCAAAAAAAATTAAAGGAACACTTTGAAAACACATTAGCTCTCAAAGGGGAAAAATACCATGCTGGGTATCTATACTGATATGGACTTGGTAATATGTTAGGAATGTAAGAATGTCCCATTCTTTTGATGGAAATGAAATTGATCAACCTAGAGAGGATTGAATTCAAAGGCACCCCGAAAATCAAAGTCAAAAAATGGTGCAGCAGGCTAGTCCATTGTGCTGAAATTTCATTGCAGCAACTCAAAATGGTACTCAGTAGTTTGTATGGCCCCTTGTGCTTGTATGCATGCCTGACAATGTTGGGGCATGCTCCTAATGAGATGACGGATGGTGTCCTGGGGTGTTTCCACCCAGATCTGGACCGGGGCACTACTGAGCTCCTGGACAGTCTGAGGTGCAATCTGGCATCGTCAGATGGACTGAAACATGATATCCCAGAGGTGTTCTATTGAATTTAGGTCAGATGAGGGTGGGAGCCATTCAATGGTATCAATTCCTTCATCCTGCAGGAACTGCCTGCATACTCTCACCACATGAGGCATTGTCGTGCACCAGGAGGAACTCTGGACCCACTGCACCAGCGTAGGGTCTGACAATGGGTCCAAGGATTTCATCCTGATACCTAATGGCAGTCAGGGTGCCATTCCCTAGCCTGTAGAGGTTTGTGTGTCCCTCCATGGATATGCCTTCCCAGACCATCTTACAAAACATAAACAGGCTTAGATTGTTGTTTAGCAGTAGATGTTTAGGGGTGGAGCCACCTGCACTACCTGATCAAAATCAGCTAGGGCAAAAAATGAAAAAAACCCTATATCAGCATCACTATATACACTCATGGTGATTGGCCAAGTACAAATGTTTTCATAGTACCCCCTTCCTTCAAATCTCTGGAAGACTTTGTCAATAACACTGGTAGACGATTTTATCTACTATTGTTCCAGTACAAAATACAGAGAGGCATATTGTAAAAATGTCAGGGTCAGGTATGATAGAAAAACAGAGAAATGGTAAATAAAATAAAGAAGATTCAGCTACTAAAGTTGGTGTGTACAAAAATGAAATCTGTTTTATTGTAAATATTTCCTGGACTTTGGGGCTGATTTATGAAATATCTGGAATAACAAAAAGCAAAAGTGCAAAAGTGGAGCTGCTGCTTATCAAAATCAATTTTCTCTCAAGCAAAAGGAGTCACTACTTAGGTGTCCATTTATGAAACTGAGAAGAGCTGCGATCCTGAGGATCAGTTCATCTGGGTTCATTAGTGGTTTATGAAATGGAGGTGACCGGCGGAGAACATGTTCTTCGCTGATCATCTCAGCACACAGTGAATCTGTAACTGACATGTACAGAAATGGCCAGTTTATGAAGGTGCATTCTCAGCACCTCACTGGTGATCTCTAGGAGAATTCTCCCTCCCAGCTTCTCCAGCCCAGAGGTGGAGAATCAGGGAGAGAGAAGCAGGAATCCCTGGAGAACTGAGGAAGAAGGAGGAAGCTTATTGACTTTCTTTTTCCTCAATCAGACCCCCCCCCCCCAAGACAGTGAAAAAGTCCCCCTGCCTTTCACAATCCCCCCAAAATTGGTAGAGCAGGATAGGAACACTATATGTATGTATGTATGTGTATATATATATATATATATATATATATATATATATATATTTATTTATTTTTTTTTTTTTATTCCAAGAGAGAGAATGGAAGAGGCCATCTACCACTTGTAAAATTGAGCATAGTTGCTGCCCACTGCAGAACAACTGCATTTACAATGCTGTTACCTGTGCATTTATAAAAGAGGGATCACATAAAGGTGCAAATCATATTGTTGGGAATAGATTGCTGGGTCAAAGACCCACACTCTCCTCATTGAACAATAACTTTCAGGGACAAAAAATAAGACAATCCCTATGCCCTTCTTTCCTGCATGCATGCTCACAATGTTTGACTAAATACAATGTAAAACACAACAGAGCCCCAACTGAGTCCTTATGACCAGTGAATTAGTTGAAACAAATATTGTAACAGAACTATGCCTTACATTTGTTTTATATTATTAATGCATTTTAAAATGGTTGTAAACCCTTATCTATACCCCAGTGAAGTGACTAGACTCGGATGATACACAGAGATGAAACAAATCCTCCTACATAAGTTGTATCTGTTTATCTAGCCATATGCCCTGTACGGCCTTCTACAACACACAGTTGAAAAGATTTTTCTCAGCAGCAGATAGCAGGGGCGGGGATCTGACATCACACACACTGCAGAGCGACAGCACAGAGTATAATCTGAGAGCTGATTGGAGGAAAGTGACAGAGGGGGAGGCTGTCTTCCAGGAGGCTGTGGTGTCAACTTAATCTATTAGCTGTGAGTTAGGCAGATAGCAGAGAGAGGAGAGTTCAGAAAGGATTCAGGTTAGTACACACATAGATAAATTTACTTTGTTCATTTTCATGTCTGAGGTTTACAACCACTTTAAATGAATGTAGTACATAAATTGATCAAAGGTCTGGACTTCAATAATAATGCTTCAGGCTGAAAAAAAAAAATACTTGGCAGATGTTACGAGTTTTAACGGTAATTTTTCATCTGCTTCTAGCTCCAGTGTGATGTTACTTGTCAGTGGACATTTCAGGCAAAGTGAATGCCCCCCCCCCCCCCCCCCCCCCACTGTTCATGCATTTGTATGCATTTATTAGTAAGTTTTAAGTAAGTGTCCCTACTTGCATGTTGTACTCAAGGGAAATCACTTGCACATGCTGACCAAATCACCAGCCCCATGATGATGAAACTCAGAGACCAAAACAGTATTCTCTGCAGGTAATTGTTCTGATTCTGCAAAGACAGAAAAGCTAGAGTATTCCTTTAAATGGAATGTATAGTTGTGTTTTATATTTTCTTCACTGACTTAAGGTCAGGAGCTAAATGACCTTAATATGTAAAAAATAGTTTTTCTATAGTTTTTTTTATAGTCAGGTAAATATTAACCAGTTCCCTGCCGTGCTATAGCCAAAAGATGGATACAGTGCAGTTGGCTAGTTCTGGGATATACTCCCAGAACTGCACCCCCCGCACCGTGCGCAAGCTGTGATCGCTGTGTCCTTCAGACACAGCTTTTTATGTGTCCAGGTAAAGGGCCAATCAAATCTGCTGTTCGCTATGTGATCAGCTGTGTCCATCAGTGCAGTCTCATTAGCACACATCAGTGAAGGAGAAAAATCACTTATTTACAAAACTTTATAACAGAAACTAAGAAAACTTTTTTCTTTTCAAAATTTTTGTCTTTTTTCATATCTTTAGCAAAAAATAAAAACTCCAGTGGTGATTAAATACCACCAAAAGAAAGCTCTATTTGTCAGAAAAAAAAAATAATAACTTAGTTTGGACACAGTGTTGCATGACCGAACAATTGCCTTTCAAAGTGCAACTGGAAAGAAAGCTGAAAATTGGCCTGGGCAGGAAGGGAGTAAAATGTGCCCGGTAGGCAAGTGGTTAAATATTGAATACAAATATTTGTATATATTTTCAAAGCAGCCAGCTCTTCATTCATTTTTTAATTGTTGTCCTCTGTTTCCTTATCTTTCTTATATTGATTAAATTTAATTGTTTAAAAAAACTCAGTAGTTAAATCTGGAATTCAAACACATGTGAATACTTTTTTTCTTGTAAAACAAAGATGATAAATGTGATGCCCTCAAAAAAATTACAATAAAATTGACTCAAAGTAATTATAGATTCCATTATTTTTCCAGAAGTAGCACTTTTAGATTTCACTTTTAGGTTTTAAGATTTCACTAGTTGTTAAAAAAATAAAATGACACTGCTATATAATTGTAACTCATGAATCCATCCAAATCTAAATCATATAACTCCATCTGTATCAAGTAGCATTAGAATGGCAGGGATGTTAGAAAGATAAAGCTTTTTTTTCATTTTGGATTGAGAAAGGGAGGGTCATACCTCCTGTCATGTTTTGCCATCTATTTTTGGATTGGGTTGATTTTCCTTCACTTCATGTCCCATAGCCAAGAAAGGAAGTGAGGGGAAATCCTTCCAAAGTGAGGGAATCCCAGGTTGCTATTGCCCCCATTGGAGGATTTCCTCTTTATCCCGTTTGTGGTGACAACCCAAAATATGGGATTTTCTTTTACATTCACCCTTAGCGGTAATGGTAAACAGGACTGATAGAGGGGGTGAATCTCCTTAATGGAGGCGCAGACAACAATAAAAAAGCTGACAAGTGTTCTAATACCTCTCCACGCTCCAGATCCCTCTATAGCCTTAGTGCCTAACCTGCAGCCTGGGGGCCAGTCTTTGGCTCTCTTTTTTGAGCCCCCCCAGGGTCCCTGCAGAAACTAATCTTTGTTTCCCTTTTGCCTGTTTTAGTAGTGTTTTGTAGCAGCCTCATTTAATATGTTTGCAGTCTATGACTGTCTCCTAAAGCATGTCCCTAGTCTCCAACAACTTCTATAGCAAGCTCACAGTCTCCTGTTGCATGTCTGCAGTCTCTGACCATCTCTTGTATCATGTTTGCAGTCTCTGACCATCTCTTGTAGAATGTCTGCAATCTCTGACCATCTCTTGTAGAATGTCTGCAATCTCTGACCATCTCTTGTAGAATATCTGCAATCTCTGACCATCTCTTATACAATGTTTGCAGTCTCTGAACATCTCTTGTAGAATATCTGCAACCTATGACCATCTCTCGGATCAGGTCCGCAGTCTCTGACCATCTCTTGTATCATGTCTGAAGTCCCTGGTTATCTACTATCTCATGCTCATAGTCTTTGACTATATCCTATTATGTGTCTGCTGTCTCTAATAATGTATAATCAATTAATTTTAAGTGTGGCCCTTTTGGTGATGTCGGGGCCACACTTGAGCCCTCCCACCCTATATCAATTGAGTTGACCACTACCACTCTATAAACTTCTTTATGCAGCAGACTGGGTGGGCTTTCCACATCTTCCAGAGATGGGAACCTAAACTGCACATGGAGAAACTACTAGTCTTTTCAACACACAGTTTTCCTTGCAGAGGCTTAAACAGCCTACAGTAGCTGCCAATTTATCCTCGCTTATCCTGAACTTGTGATAAAAATGCATACAAGCATAATACTATGTCTCACTACCAACAAAACCTTTAACTGTGGAAACACATTGTAGTATAGTAGCATAGAATATCACCCAAATGACACCCTGCAGATGAAGTTTTCACCCGCAGCTCTGTAGTTATTTTCTGTAGTACAGCAATAATACGGGACAATCTGTATAGAGAGCCCTGTAACATTGTCCAGCAGATGCTGTACACCTGTGCTTGGAGCTGAGCAGCGTGTGACAGGCTGTGACAGAATGTCATATTAGGCTAATACATGGCTAAAGGATAATATATTGAAGAGGGAGAGTGCAGAAGAGAAACCCTTTTCCCAAATGTGAGCAGGTGGGTTTAAATGTAAGCGAATGAAAATCGATCATCACTATCACTGATGAATGGATAGATTCCCAGCTCAGATCAATCCTGGATTTAACACATCCACTGTGTGCATATATATATATATATATATATAGATAGATAGATAGATAGATTAGATAGATAAACAGAGGAGCACAATTGGTAGAAAGGACAGAGTGGCTCACCCAACAGGTGGAAGAGCATGAAAAAAAAATATTCTTCCCAAATATATTGACATATATTTGAAATACTACAATTTTGGCCATATTCAATATATTTCAGAATATATTTCAAAAAATATATATACATACTGTATGTTGAAATGCGTTTTATTACAAAATATATAAAAAAATATTTTTAAAAATAGATTTCAAATATACAGTATGTCTACATTTTTTGAATGCATTTACAAATATATGTAAAAATATATGTTAAAATTACTTTTTTATATGTTAAAAAAAAATCTAAAGAATATATTAAAAATATTATATTAAAAATATTTAATATTATATTAAAAATATTTTTCATATACTTTTGTAATATATAAAATGCATTTCAACATGCAGTATATATATATAAATATATATATATATATACACTGCATGTTGAAATGTGTTTTTTATATTACAAAATATATGAAAAATATTTTAAAAAATATATTGTTTTAAATATATTCTTCAGATTTTTTTTTCAAACATAAAAAAGTCTTTTTAATATACATTTTTACATATATTTGTAAATGCATTCCAAAAATATAGATTTGTATTTTTAAAGACATACGGTATATCTGAAATGTTTTTTTTTTAAATATTGTTCATATATTTTGTAATAAAAACGCATTTCAACATACAGTATATATATTTTTATTGAAATATATTTTTAAATATATTGAATATGGCCATAATTATAGCATTTCAAATATATGTCAATATATTTGGGAAGAACTTTTTTAAACTATATTTCAAATATATTTTTCTTCCATGTGGGGAAGGCCCTTTATGGCAGGATTACCAGGTATTATTTTAATAAAAGCTGTTGATTTAAAAAATTATAAAACTTCCTTTTAAATTTACATTAACTTGTTAAAGCTTATATGAGAATGTAAGATCTCAGTGACTGGGTTTACATATATACGTAAACTTAACTCTAGGCAGATATAAGCGACAGATTAATGCAGCTCTCTAATCATAAAAACATCATTAAATTAATTTTAAATGCAATTCAATCTGACCCAGCCTCTTGCAGTCCCTGTACAATAAGGGCTGGGGTATCATGTCAACAAGCAGTGCAAAGGTGCCAATAAGCTCATATGCTGCGTATAGTGATAGGAAGAGAAAGTAGGGTGACAGAGAAATTAGCTCATCACTGGTTTTGTCCTCCTTTTACTGCAAAGTCACAGGCTGGGGCAGGTCCAGGACAAACTGGGCTCAGAGGAAGTGTTTTGAATGATGCTGATCATTAGACTGAGGGCATCTACTGGCAGAAAAAAGGATGAACGTGAAAAACTCTGCATTGAAAATGAATTTTGCAGCAAAAACAGATTTTGTTATTGTATCTCTTATTGGGCCATTCATTTTATTTGTTATTTTTGGATGGAATTCGATTTTATCACTTGCTATCAAGGTACATTCATAAATGTCACGTTAGACAAGTGGTTAAATCAGCCGTGAGCTTGACATCAGCTTTAAGAGCCGGTAAAGGACTTTCCAATATTCCCCTTGGGTAAGTATCTTGATAAATGTATTGAACAACTTTGGCCAGCAATACAGCCAGGTAGCAATCATTTCCTGTAGGAGAAGTAAGCAAGGGCAGCCTACAATATTTTTGTACAGATTTTCTTTGCTGAAACCTGTATGGAAATATCCATAGGTAGCCATGGACATCAGAGAATGTTCATCTAATGCAGCTGTTTATAGCCAGGGGACATATATATACTATATTGCCAAAAGTATTGTAGCACCTGCCTTTACACGCACATGAGCTATAATGGCATCCCATCTTTAGTTCATAGGGTTCACTGTTGAGTTTGCCCACCCTTTGCCACTATAAACACCTTCAACTCTTCTGGGAGGCTGTCCACAAGGTTTAGGAGTGTGTCTATGGGAATGTTTGACTATTCTTCCAGAAGTGCATTTGTGAAGTTAGGCACGTTTCAGTCGATAAGGCCTGGCTCGCAGTCTCTGCTCTAATTCATTCCAAAGGTGTTCTAGGACTCTGTGCAGGCCAGTCAAGTTCCTCCATCCCATGTCTTTATGGACCTTGCTTTGTGCACTGGTGTGCAGTCATGTTGGAACAGGAAGGGGCCATCCCCAAACTCTCTTCCCACAAAGTTGGGAGCATGAAATCATCCAAAATGTCTTGGTATGCTGACACCTTAAGAGTTCCCTTCACTAAGGGGCCAAGCCCAACCCCTAAAAAACAACCCCACACCATAATCCCCCCTCCACCAAACTTTACACTTGGCACACAGCAGTCAGGCAAGTACTGGCAACCACCAAACTCCATCGGATTGCCAAACAGAGAAGCGTGATTGGTCACTCCAGAGAACACATCTCCACTGCTCTAGAGTCCAGTGGTGGCTTGCTTTACAGTACTGCATCTGACACTTTGCATTCAGTGATGTAAGGCTTGGATGCAGCTGCTCGACCATAGAAACCCATTCCATGAAGCTCTCTACTCACTGCTGTTATACTAATCTGAAGGCCACATGAAGTTTGGAGGTCTTTAGCTATTGACTTTGCAGACAGTTGGCGACTTCTGCGCACTGTGCGCTTCAGCATGTGCTGATTCTGCTCTTGTTGTTGTTCTCAGTTGCTTCCACTTTGTTATAATCCCACTAAGAGTTGAGCGTTGAATATTTAGTAGCAAGGAAATTTCATAGATGGACTTATTGCACAGGTGGTGGCCTATCACGGTACCACACTTGGATTCACTGAGCTCCTGAGAGCGACCCATTCTTTCACAATTGTTTATAGAAGCAGTCTGCATGCCTAAGTGCTTGATTTTATAGACCTGTGGCCATGGAGGTGATTGGAACACCTGAATCCAATGATTTGGAGGGGTGTCCCAATACTTTTGGCAATATAATGTATACAGTATGTCTGTAGGCCTTCCCTGGCACCCTCTAGACCTTGTTGGGTAGGGAACTGGTTGGACCACAAAGTTTTTCCCAACCAATCACTATTGCTTTGCCACAAGGTAGACCGACAGCAGTGTTGTCAACTGAAAGCTCTCCCTCCTCTTTCCAAAGGAAAAACATGCATTTTATACAGTTATCACATGAAGATGACTGATGGCTTATGCATGATTTCGTGGTTGGATCACTAATGTCTGTATAAACCTTTAAGCGCTTCGGGGAGGGGCTAACTGGGTTGTAGTAATTTAATCACTTGCCTACTGGGCACTTTTACCACCTTCCTGCCCAGGCCAATTTTTCAGCTTTCAGCGCTGTCGCACTTTGAATGACAATTGCGGTCATGCAACACTGTACCCATATAAAAATGTTATTTTATTTTATTTATATTTTATTTTTCACACAAACAGAGCTTTCTTTTGGTGGTATTTAATCACCACTGGGCATTTTATTTTTTGGTAAACAAAAAAAAAAAAAAACATTTTTTCTTAGTTTCTATTATAAAATTTTGTAAACCGGTAATTTTTCTCCTTTACTGATGTGTGCTGATTAGGCTGCACTGATAGGCTGCACCGATGAGCACTAATAGGGTGCACTGATGAGCACTGATAGGCAGCACTGATGGGCACTAATGAGGCAGCACTGATAGGCTGCACTGATAAGGCAGCACTGGTGGGCACTTATGAGGAGGCACTGATGAGGCCACACTGATAGGCGGCACTGATGGAAACTGGCAGGATTGATGGGCACTAATAGATGGCACTGATTGGCACTAATAGGCAGGACTGATTGGCACTAATAGGCAGCACGGAAAGGCACTGATAGGCAGCACTGATTGGCAGCACTGATGGACACTGACTGGCATTGACAGGCAGCACTGATGGGCACTGTTGGGGCTGCACTGATAATCAGGGTAGATGTCCCCTTTCACACTTGGTGTTACACTGTTACAGCATGAGGAAAGTATTGCTGATAACCGACAAGTGTGTTTACAACGCTCACAGAGAGCACCAGTTGTGCACCACAGTGGACATGCAGGGGGCGAGGTTCTGGGAGGATGTCAATAGACGCCCTCCCAGAACTGGATGACCGCACTGTAGCCATCATTCAGCTATAGCGCGGTTGGCAAGTGATTAAAGGTGAGACAATATTTTCCAGGAATTTTCTTGTAATGAATGGTAAATAATCCCAGAGTACATGTATAGGTCATTGTAAAGTGCTGCACAAACTGTTGGCGCTATATAAATCCTGTAAATAATAACAGACTTTTAGCCCTGGTTCACACTGTCACATCACATGTGATTCACACAGGAATCGCACCACATCCCTGTGCAAATCACATACAGTGCAATTTGAGCCCATCATTTTGTATGGCTCAAATTGCACTGCATCTGCACGAAAAAGGAGCAGGCAGTTCATACCCATGCGATCCAATTCAGGCAAACGCACTGCATTCTGTGATTCCAGCGATTCCCGTGTGTTTCCCGCCATCACATCAGTGTGAACCAAGCCTTACAATTCTGTAGAAAGGCAGCAGAAAAAATGTAGAATTTTCAGGTGGCAGTGTACTAGAGGACAGGACCTTCTGATTGGCATAAAGTGGCCTCAGGATAGGGTGTTGTGCAGGGTTGCCAACCGTCAATAAATTTTAGAGACAGTTTGTAAAAATCTGTGATTTGTACGACTGTCTGTAAATATCAGGGGCTGATAATTTGTCATGCTATGTTGACTTGGCAAAAGTGCCAAACCAGATGCAGGCTGGAAGAGGGGTGCTTTCCCAAGCTTGCAGCAATCTCCAGCAATCCTGGACCATTCCTTCACCATTCTTACTTGTCAGGAACCTTCCCTGCAACTGAGCTAACTTTCCCTAGCCAGCGTGTACTCTGTACCTACTGTCAGCACCTGTGGTAGCGAGCTCTTGTTGATACTCAACTTGGGGTTCCCCAGGGCGCGGAGTCTAATCCCAGCCTGCTTCTTCACCAGAGCCCCTGAAGGTGGGGATGGACTTGCAGCAAGCTGGGACCAGGTCGATGCCCCCAGGTATGCCCAGCTGAGGTTGAGGAGACCGCTCACGGGAGCAGAATATAATGGGAGGAGACAAATGGAATCCAATAGGCTAGCCGAGGTCAGGACAAGCTGAAAACAAGCAAGGTCAGAGAACTAAGCTGGGGTCGGTACACTAGTAGTCAATATAGGATTCAGGCAGTAGCAACACACAGGAGCTCAGACAACTAGGAAGTTGCTCAGGCAAAGTGGGCTAGACTGAGCATGTCTTATATAGACAAGCAAACTAGGAGGTGGGCCAGGAAGTGATGGAAGGGAAGTAAATAAAACCCAGAGGATAGCAGACGACGCCCGTAGGTGAGCACAGACAAACCACACATATGAAAAGGATCAGGAGCAGCAAGGAGGTAAGAATAAAGAAACACGTACGTAGTCACTCCCCACACTGCAGATACACCAGACTGACCTAGCTGGGGATATATATCATCCCTCTGAGTCCAAAATGGTTGTCAGAATCTCAGAAGAACTCAGTATCCCAATCAGATGCTGGCTTCCCCAAAATGGCCACCAGGAGCCCAGTTCAGAGGACAAATCAGTCCTCTGTATAGTTTTCTTAGCATCAGAGGTAAGCAAGGATCACATGATTGCTGTGTTTACTTCTGGCACTAATCAGGAAGTGAGTGGAAGGTCTACAGAACCCTGCCTGTGCTCAGTGCTGTCACCCACTTGAGTGGTATCCATTATTATTATTATACATTATTTATATAGCGCCAGAAAGGTTTGCTCAGCGCTGTACATTATAGTGGGGGACAGAACATGAGAAAATACAGTAACAAAACAATACACGAGGGGTTCGAGAGCCCTGCTCTTTTGAGCTTACAATCTAGGAGGGAGGGGGAAGTGGTACAGGAGGAAGTGTCTGCGGGGGATGGAGTGGTAGGAGTAGTGGAGGAGATCGGCTGTTAGGTGAGGGTGGGGTAGGCTTCACTGAAGAGATGGGTTTTCAGGGTGCGCCTAAAGGTGAGGAGGGTAGGTGACAGTCTGATGGATTGGGGTAGTGAGTTCCAGAGGATAGGGGAAGTCCTGGAGAAGTCCTGCAGTCGGGCGTGGGAGGTGGAGACCAAGGAGCTAGAAAGTAGGAGGTCTTGTGAGGATCCATACACAGCAACTCCCTCCTACATAACTACCTTAAAGTGTTAATAAACCCTGGGCCCTGCGTTCACTATATCTGGTCTCCCACAGTACACAGAACATGGAAACGCAATTATTTTGGTAAATTAAACTGCTAAATACCTTTTCTCATCAGCAGTTAGAGCAGTCTTGTGACTTCTATCAGTGTCTAGCTGAGCACTGGTTACAGCTATAGGAGGAGTTTTCATTCTGCTCTGACTGTCCTATGAGGCTGCAAAACCCCTGACCCTTTGTCTGGACAGCACTGATTGGCCCTGTACTGATCATATGCACTTTCCCCCCAAGAAACAAAACTCAAGCAATACACACCAAACTGAGCATGTGCTGAGTGTCTCCTAGCGTTCTGTACTATCAGCAGATAGATTGGGGACAGTAGAAGAAGGGGAGGATCATAGAAGACAGGATTAAACAGCCTTTTTACACAATGCGGAAGATTAGCCCCTTAGGTTCCACAGTGAGTATAACAAGCATGCTTTACTGCGTATACAGACTGATTTTACTGTTGTGGGTTTAGTGACACTTTAAGCCCCTCTGACCCAAGACATCAAGCTGTCCTTGGTTTCTGCTCACTTTTTACTAAAGTTACTGCCTTTACATTTCATGACATTGTACATTAATTGAAATGAAAAGGCTGGTATTATTACTCACAGCAGTAGCTAGCTTTATTATTATTATTATAAGACAGGATTTATATAGCGCCAACAGTTTGCTCAGCACTTTACAATATAATGGGAGACAATACAGCAACAATACAGTCCAATACAAGAGGGCTAGGAGGGCCCTGCTCCTTTATATAAACCAATACATGCTGGACCTAGATTCCATATAGTCAATTAGCATCCACTGCACTGTCAAAAACTTCTGAAAATGCCTAAACAGTATTCAAAACTTAAAGTGTCACTAAACCCACAACAGTAAAATCAGTCTGCAGTAAAGCATATTTTAGTATATGCAGTAAAGCATGCTTGTTATACTCACTGTGGAACTTAAGGGGTTAATCCTCTGCATTGTGTAAAAAGGCTGTTTGATCCTGTCTTCCCTGTCCCCCTCTTGTTGAAATATCTGCCTGATACAGACTGAATCTGTGGTCACAAACACATGCTCAGTTTGGTGTGTATTGCTAGAGAGGTTTTTTTTTTTTTCTTGGGACCGTGCATGTGAGCAGCACAGGGCCAATCAGCAGACAGACAGAGGGTCAGAGATTTCACATCTCATAGAGCAGAAAGAAAACCCCTCCTACAAGCTTTAACCAGTGCTCTGCTGAAGTCACAAGACTGCTCTAACTGCTGATGAGAAAAGGTATTTAGCAGTTTATATTTACTAAAATAATTGCACTTCCATGTTCCGTGTACTGTGGGAGACCAGATAAAGTGAATGCGGGGTCCTGGGTTTAGTATAATTTTAAAGGCCTTGTTCACACCATGCGCAGAGACATCAGTTTTTCTGTACTCATTCTGCAAGGGCACATTAAAAAAAAAACAATTGTTCTCTATGTGCTCTGTTCACACCACAACACTTGTATCGCATGCAGATTGTTTTCTGCACAGGAATCTGCAATGTGTAGAAAACTCATTGAAACACACATGAAAACTGATGTAAACTTGTGTCTCTACAAGTGAAATCTGCTCATCAGTTTCCATCAGTTTTCTGCACATATGGTGTGAATGAGGACTAAGTCATAAACTATTGTGTAATCTTAAGAATGTTTAGGGGCCCTTTAGTACAAACTGGCAACTATTGAGGAATAAATGTTTAAAAATGACTACATCCTATGTAACAGGCTTTGATGTCAGGGTCTCTATCTCCATATGTAAGCAGATTAATAGCAGAGCAAATGGTTAACAATCAGTGTTAGTTTAACCTCAAATTAATCCACATGGTTTAACACAAACACACTCCTAAACATCAGCTCTTGGTAAGTGACCCATATGAAAGCGGATAAAGAGAGAGCTGTCAATAATCACATTTCATTTTTGAGAAGTGTCTTAGGTCAGACTCAGTGCTCAGAGAAGTCCCTTTAATTACTGTTGTTCTGTAAGATGATAGCAGTCTTCAGGGGATGGGGATAAACTGGACATCACTGGTGAGGAACAGACTGGCTGCCAGTAATAGATTTTCAATTGAGTAAACTGTTTATTTCCACAAACTCTGTAATTGGGAAATGATCCTATGTGTACATGTCACTCAGGTTGTTTGTACAGTTTAGCTATGTATTGTTAGATTTATGTTCCTTGCTGTTTTTAAAAAAACAAAATGAATGCAGGGGGTTGTATTAAATTATTAAATTATTTTTTTTAACACTCAGGTAAAAGGAGCTAATTCACAAGGATGCATATACTAGTCACCAAGGAAAAATAATAGGACATTTAGCAGTACACAATCCAATTAATTAAAACAAACTCAATCACTCAAATCTAAAAAAAAAATGTAAAGGGTAACACCCCTTTTTTTCAGAAAAATATATTGCAAACAATATGCTATATGCAATTATATACAATAAAAAAATAATATAGCATATACAATTGCAATACAAGCCATTTTATAATTAACCACTTCCAGTCCGGACACTTTTACCCCCTTCCTGTCCAGGCCAATTTTCAGCTTTCAGCGTTATCACACTTTGAATGCAACACTGCACCCATGTGAATTTTTTAAAATTTTTTTGAGACAGATAAAACTTTATTTTGGTGGTATTTATTCACCACTGGGATTTTTTTTTTTTGCTATATAAATGAAAAAGTCCAAAAATTTTGAAAAAAGTGTTTTTCTTATAAAATTTAGCAAATTAATAATATTTCATCATAAATCTTGACCAAAATTTATTTGGTTATCTTTTTAGTAAAAAAAAAAGTAACCCAAATTATAATAACCCAAAAATTATAATTAAAAAAAAAATGTTTACATTTTTATTTAATTTTTTAATATAATTATTTATGGGGGTTTTTTTCTACATACTGTCACCCTAGCAGTACAGTGTTACCATGATGACACTGTACTACTTGTGGGGGGTGTGGGAAGATTTTTTTTTTTTTTACACTGATTGCTTTTACACCCATTGTAAATAGCCTTGTACCATGTGACCTCTGTGATCATTCACAGATTTCACACGTAGTAAGCAATGATGTCAGAACTGATATCTTGCTTACTACTCTGCATGTGATCACTGATTGGTCAATCAGTGATCACGTGATCGGGACCTCGCACAGAGGTCCCATATGACGATCGGTGTTCCACTGTGTCCGGAGTACACAACGGGCACCGGATCACGGTGCTGCGCCCTTCCAAGGAGCGCGCACAATCCATAATGGCGGGGGCCATTTATAAACAACAACCCACTCCTGGACTGCCACCGTCCGGCCGTACAGCGGCCGGACGGCAAGTGGTTAAATGTTATTTAACCACCTCCCGCCATATAGTACAATGACGGGCGCAAGGCGGTTCTTTCGTTCTGGGAGGACCTCATATGACGTCCTCCCATTCTCACCGCGCATGCGCGGCTCCAGGAGCGCGCAGTGCGGTGATCGGTGGTGAGCTGTGTGCCTCGGACACAGCGGATCACCGATCCATGGAAAGAGCCGAAGATGTCGGCTCGGTCATGTGATCTGCTGTGTCCAATCACAGCTGATCACATGTAAATAGGGAAATGCCGGTTATCTGCATTTCTCTCCTCTCGAGCTGTCACACTGACAGCTCGAGAGGAGAGCAGAGCCGGTAATCAGTATTCCACAGAGGGGACATGTACACTGGTCATCAAGGCACTGATGATCAGTGTGCCCTGATGATCAGTGTAGCCCCAGCAGTGCCACCTGTCAGTGTCCATCAATGCCAGCTGTCAGTGCTCATCCATGCACCCTGCCAGTGTACATCAGTGCCACATCAATGCCACATATCAGTACCTACCAGTGCACATCAATGCCACATATCAGTGCCCATCTGAACTGCCTTTCAGTGTCACCCATCAGTGCCAGTCAGTGCCACCTATCAATGCCAGTCAGTGCCACCTATCAGTGCTGCCTATCAGTGCCAGTCAGTGCCACCTAACAGTGCCAGTCAGTGCCACATATCAGTGCCAGTCAGTGCCGCTTATCAGTGCCACCTATCAGTGCCACCTATCAGTGCCATATATGAGTGCTGTCTTTCAGTGCCCATCAGTGATGCCTGTCAATGTCCATCAGTGCCACCTACCAGTGCCTCCTCATCAGTGCCCATCAGTACCACCTATCAGTGTCCATCAGTGCAGCCTATCAGTGCCCATCAGTGCATTCTATCAGTGCCCATCAGTGCAGCCTCATTAGCGTACATCAGTGAAGGAGAAAAATCACTTATTTACTAAATTTTATAACAAAAACTAAGAAAAAAACTTTTTTTTAAAAAAAATTTTCTGTGGTTTTTGGTTTTAAGAAAAAATAAAAAACCCAGAGGTGATTAAATACCACCAAAATAAAGCTCTAACTGTCACAAAAAAATTATAAACATTTAATATGGATACCGTGTTGCATGACCACGCTATTGTCATTCAAAGTGTGCGCTTATTCCCCCTTCCTAGGGCAGGAAGGGGGAATAAGTGGTTAAAAAATTATTTCCTTTTCAATGTGCAGAGCTGTAATTTTCTGTAAAATTCAATGCAATATGGCAACCTAGAGGCATTACATACACAGATGTTGTACAGAATGCCCCAGAAATGTAATTTCCTGCTTGTGTGCTTGGCTCACTGATTTTTCCAGAAGTCTGCAATTAGGCAGGCCATAGACCATAAAATTGACTTGAACCCAGCTTGAAACCAGGTTTTTTTTTCAGTTGAACGAATGGGTGAACTAAAGAGCCAGATTTGGCCTGTTCACCTACCTACATGGACCACTAGGTCATGCACCTGAAAGCTATTCATTTAGTGGTGGTATACCTACTACCACTAAATAACAGCTTCCCGCTGGCTGTGTACAAGCTGGTTTGCTGACATTCAGCATTTGGTCGGGGAGCTGTCATTTGTGATGGGAAAGAACAGGAGAAGATTGACATGTTGGGGGACCATGGGGTGTTGTTCATCATGTCTTACATTTAATCTACATTGCTGGGCGACTTGGTTGAAATTGGACTTGCATCAGAGAACAGTTTTCATTTTTTTTTAATAGGGAATTTTTTATGGTCTCAACATTTTTGTGAATGAGTAACAATGGGAACTATATAGTAGGGAAGGTCAGATATCTGAAAACACCCCTTATTTTTCTGACAAGTCCCTCCCCCATAGACCCCCATATCCATCGGGCCCAGGATGTAGGGATGAGGCCTTTGTTCCAATGGACATTGTACAGGTACACATTTTCATGTGCTGGTTTAGGGCATTGCCCAAACATGTTATTTATAGCAACTGTTTATCTTTATTATTGCCCTTTAAGGTTCATTAAAACAATTGCTTCCTGCTAAACAGTATTTTTAAAATTATTTTTGCATTGATACATGGCCCCCCATGACAGTTCCCAAGATTCATCTCCTGTAGACTTCATTGGGGTTTGAGCATTATGTTTGGGGTTCACAGATTTCCCACCATGTCCAGGAAATTGAACTTTGCTTGGTTCAGTCATCCCTAGTTACAATGTAAATAAAAGCAGGGGTGATGAACTACCCATGCACTCAGTAGAGAGCCCTAAGATTCCATGCTTATTCTATATAGAATCAAATAAAAATGATACAGTAATATTAGGAGTACAGAATTGATCAAAACTACAGAGGAACAGATTTGGGGAGTACTTGCTTATTTTAGATGATTGTAAAATGAACAGTGTGGCTGGCAGTGGGGAAAAGGTATAAAATAGAATTCCGTGATGCGTCACTAGAGGGATCACCAGCACAAGAAAGGAGGTCCTGATTCCTTTATATAGATCTTCAGTTATCACTAGAGGGGTCACCTGCAGGACTGAAGGAGGAAGCAAGTCCTGATTCCTCTATATAGATCTTCAGTTATCTCTAGAGGGTCACAAGTAAGAGGGAGGAGGTCCTGATTCCTCTAAATAGATCTTTGTTGATTACTAGAGGTATAACCTTGAGGAAGAAGGAGGTCCTGATTCCCCTATATAGATCTTTAGTTATCACTAAAGGTATCACCTTCAGGAGGAAGGAGGTCCTGATTTCTCTATATAGATCTTTAGCTGTCGCGAGAGGGGTCACCTTCAGGAGGAAGGAGATCCTGATTTCCCTATATAGATCTTTCATAATCATTAGCGGGATCACTTGCAGGAGGAAGGAGGTCCTGATTCCTCTATGTAGATCTTCAGTTATAACTAGAGGGGTCACAAACAGGAGGAAGGAGGTCCTGATTCTCCTATATAGATCTTCAGTTATCACTAGGGGGGGTCACAATTAGAGGGAGGAGGTCCTGATTCCTCTAAATAGATCTTTAGTGATTACTAGAGGTATAACCTTGAGGAAGAAGGAGGTCCTGATTCCCCTATATAGATCTTTAGTTATCACTAAAGGTATCACCTTCAGGAGGAAGGAGGTCCTGATTTCTCGATGTAGATCTTTAGCTATCACTAGAGGGGTCACCTTCAGGAGGAAAGAGGACCTGATTTATCTATATAGATCTTTAGCTATCACTAGAGGGATCACCAGGAGGTGGAAGGAGATCCTGATTCCAGTATATAGATTTTTAGTTATTATTAGAGAGGTCACAAGCAGGAGGAAGGAGGTCCTGATTCCCCTATATACTGTAGATCTTCAGTTATCACTAGAGGGTTAGAAAGAAGAGGGAGGAGGTCCTGATTCCCCTATATAGATCTTTAGCTATCAGGAGAGGGGTCACTAACAGGTGGAAGGAGGTCCTGATTCTTCTATATAGATCTTTAGTTATAACTAGAGGGGTCACAAGCAGGTGGAAGGAGGTCCTGACTCCTATATAGATCTTCGGTTATCACTAGAGGGGTCAGAAACAGGAGGAAGGAGGTCCTGCTGTCCCTATATAGATCTTTAGTTATCACTAGAGAGATCACCAGCAGGTGGAAAGAGGTCCTGATTTCTCTATATTAGATTTGAAGTTATCACTAAAGGGATCATTTGCAGGAGGAAGGAGTTCATGATTCCTCTATGTAGATCTTTAGTTATCACTAGAGGGGTCACCAACAGGTGGAAGGAGGTCCTGATTCTTCTATATAGGTCTTTAGTTATCACTAGAGGGATCATCAGCAGGAGGAAGGAAGTCCTGATTCCCCTTTAGTTTTCATTAGAGCTGCTGCACACCAGCTACTGGAAGGAGGTCCTGAATTCTCTATATAGATCTTTAGTGAGACCTCATTTACAAAACTGTGTCCATTTCTGAAGACCTCTCTTACAAAAAGATATTGATAAGATAGAACAAGCCCAGAGACATGCAGTAAAAATGGTGAAAGGTCTAGGTAATAAAACATATAAGGAGATACTTTGGGAACTTCATATGTACATTCCTAAAGTGGAACTAAAGTATTTAATACTCACCTTTCCAACAGTCAAAAACTCCTGCCCCTGCACCGGTATATACTCCTGTGTCCATTTTTGGCTGTATAATTGGCTGGCTCAAGATGACATCACTCCTACACTTAGGAGGTCGTTAGCATACAGAGACTGGCACAGGTGCTGTAAGCTGAACTGCAAAACGCTAAGCTTACAGGGCAGAAGAGCTCAGTGAGCAGGCAGGTAGGGGCATTTTATTGCAGAAGAGACATACCGATCCGGTAGAGTTGTGACTGGGAAGGTGGGCGGCAATGTAGCAAGTCACTCCATGTTGCTCACAGCCTTTTTCAGGGTGGGCTGATAATTCTGGATGATGTGTGTATTATGCCAGCCTCCAGGGCTGACAGCGATAAGCCGTGAGGCCACACACCAGAAGTGACAATCAGGTGTGCACCAAAAGTGACCTCAGATGGACTGCAGATGGACCAGGAGAACCACGTCAAACCACAGTGAGATGGATACACCAGAAGTAGCCTTGGTAGACCTGCACAGGACCAGATCAAGCATCTTGAACCCTCAGTGGATTAGAGCTGGGTGGGAACAGCCTGCTTTGTCAAGGTCACACCACCCAGTTTCCACCCAGCTGTATTTCACTGAGGGTTCAAGATGCTTGCTCTGGTCCTGCTGTGGTTCTACCGAAGCTACTTCCAGTGTCTCCATCTCACTGTGGTTTGAGGTGGTCCTCCTTATCCATCTGCAGTCCATCTGAGGTCATTTATCAGCCCACCCTGAAAGAGGCCGAGACCAACATGGAGTGATTTACTACATTGCCTCCTACCTTCCCAGTCACAGCTCCACCGGTTTGGAATGTCACAGTGTACCCTTGCCACCAGCACAGCTCATAGTCTTCAAATGCTTATAACCTATGCTATATATAACTCCTCATTGATGGACAGTTCATTGCTGGACATTGTATTGCTGGTCAGTCTATTACTGGACAACATATCATATTCTTATCAAGTTTCATTAAATCATTCTTTATAATTCACAGTTTAATGCGTTTCATTATATCACTGGGTCTACATATTACATATCCCAGTGTGACTACTACCTTTTTGCGATCTTCACCCATAGCACTCTTCTTCAGTATGTATGACATCACACATTGCTCCGAGTTGTTCCTAGAGCATCTTGTGGTATTGACCCGAATAAGGGTCAGCTATTATATTTATAAATTTAGACACCAGTGCCCATGAGTTAGTTTCTTTTGGATTAATCTTCTGCAGTAAAAGCCTACCTGTTCCCCATTTCTTACAGAAGATTTTCAGTTCCCGTTAAACTGGAACTTTAGATTTAAAAAAAAAAAAAGGGCCAACAGGCAGGATTTTTAATGTAGAAGAGAAATGCTTCTGCACACACGAAACTCCCTGTAGAAATTCAGTGATGCCGAAGTGACATCACCCCCTCCCAGCCAATGCCAATGAAAGTGGTTTGGCGACTGAAGATGTCAGCAGCCAGCAAGGAGCTCTGGGACATCACATTGCTGGATCACATTGCTGGATCCAAGGTGAGTATAATTCTGCTTTAAGAAAGATGTAAAAGGGGAGACAAGATTTAAACGTCTAAATACTCCCACCTAGTGCAGTGCAGCAAGGGTTAAAAGCTTGTTTAGTCCAAAGGTGCTGAATAATGGGTATCACTTTTCTTATTCCTGGCTCTGGCAGGCTTCCTCAGTTCATGCGACTGGTCCCCCACAGTGTCCTCTCTAAGCAGCTTCCGAACGCGGTTGCCTGCTCACCTCCTCACATACAATGTAGGGTTAATAGGCCTGCACTGTGTGTGATGACACAGAGGGACCAATCACAGCCAGATGACATCACAGGGGTCTGCCAGACCAAGCGATAGGGTAAGTAATACATACAA